TCTACAGACCTTTCTTGTGTTTGGTACTCCGGTCTACCAATTCCAGCTGTGTCAGCTCTCTAAACTTTGGTCTTATCTCCTCAACTCACTGTCAGTGCCATGCTTGGGTTTTTCCTTCCCGTACCAAGATCTGAAAAGTGCCTCTAGGCAGAAAACTGGGTCAATTGTAGATTTGTTTCCATTCTCCTAAGGATCACAGTCGTGTGTTGTCTAATTTCTGAAAATACTTGTTTCATACATTTGCTTATTTTTCAGTTTTCCAGTTGTCAACAGTAGGAGGGCAAGTAGAGTTGTAGTTATTCCTCATAGCTGGAAACATAATTTATCGAAAATGCCTTGACATTTTTAAAAGCACTCTTAGACAGAAATAATGCTGTTTGACATTAAAATTTTAATTGGACCAAATAAGTTATCCAAATCACTTCATGGAGAAGCTAGAAAACAGCCTAAACCTGATTCTACCCACATGAAAACAGACCTATGTCTCACATATTCAATTATGATTTCTTAGGTAAAATCTAAGACTATCAGTCTTGTCAACAATGGCTAATGTAATTGGACTGATTTTGCTGTGTAGCAGTGACATGGAGCAGTGGTTATATCACAAATCAGGAAGTTTCAGGAGGAAAGCCAGACCTCAGAATGACTCCCGATCCTACCTGGATGCATTCCTTCAGGCTTCAGGGTAAAAGACAAGGGCTGCCTGGTCACAGCTCTATAACCCATGTTATTGGGGTCCTGTCTCCCCATCATAGACAGCCTCTTGTTGTCCGAAGATCTGACTGGAGCTTGGTACATTGTAAGCAGCCTAAATGTCAAGCGCTGTACTAGTTCTGTTTATTATTTCTGCTTGGCAGGGGAAACGGGTCTGTTGCACATGGGAAACTCCAACGTGCTTTTCTCAGGGATACGCATTCCCATGACCATTGCTATGTATGTCAGAAGATAAATGAGACCCTGGAACATTTCCACAAGGCACTATCTTATAAAAAGACACATTAAGGAAACTGTGTTGAATTTTAGCATTTTAAATACAAGGGCTCTATGCACTGCTATGTTTACTTTTTATGTTGATATTTTACCTCCTCCTTCTCCTGGGAAGAGATTATAAATCCTCAGGAGTCCTAAAAATGTAACACTAAGTTCAGAACAACCCAATTTTTTTTTTTTTAATTTATCAGGATGAAGAATAAAGAGATTGGGTCCTAGGAAAAAAATTGTGGGGATTAAAGAAGTAAGAGGTCTCCATCCTCTCTTTAGGCCAAATCTTATCCGGCCTCCACAGTGCAGCCACTTCTGTAGACACAGAATGACTTTGGTAAAATCCAAGTATTGTGGCATTTTGAGAAAAAGATGTTCATTATTTAGAAAAAGTAGGCTTTTTTTTTTTTTTTTTTTTCAAAATCACACCCGGAAAGGTAACAGGCAAACATAATCATCATTGGAGGAAAACATCTGCTAGGTACAAAACCTTGACAAAACCCTTTCCCATTGTTGCTAGCTAATTACAGACCCAACTGTTATTTGGGAGTGGGAATATCACAGTATAAAGGTTCCATATAGCTCTTGTACCAATTGTAGCTAGCAGAGAACATACCAGATTAGCCACTGGGAATGAGGTGCATTGTTTGAAGTCAGGGCTTTAAGTCATTTGCAATACTTGGCTATTTCAACATTTCCAGGAAGTGTCTTCATGGACTAAGCATTCATATTACCCAAGAGCAGACGTTTTTACCCTGGAACGTTCTAGAGTCACCAGTGTCTAGCCTCCAGTCCATGCTGGTGAAGTCAGACTCTGGTAGTGAACCCGGGCCTGGATATTTCTGTGCAGGTTTTCAGGTTATTCTAATGAGTGGCCAGGATTCAGAGCCACTCTTGGACTGATAACTCCTGTGAAATTGGAGAGCAGAAGATAACACGAACAGGCTTTTAGTGGTTTCCTTGATCTTCTGCTTAGATTTCCTTTGTCCCATTGAAATCTACCCACCCCACTGTGTCTGCAACAAATTTCTATTCCTGAGAATAATCCATCAATTTTGAAAATGAAATGTTCAAATAGGATATGCTCTACAGTCTAGGATTTTCCAATGATTTAATTATCTAATTACTGGAGCCGGCTGCCAAGCACAAATGGTTTTATTCAGTTTCACTATTTTATAACACAGTTCAAAGAACATTTGAATTTCTAATCCAATTTTTGTTCTTTTGAGACTAGTCTGGTGTTTCGCATATCTCCAATGATAGCTCCATTATTGGACTTATAACCGCTCTGGGGTTGCAGTTCATTTTTGGTATATAATAATGCATATGGTGAAGGAGAATTGATGCCGAGATAGCTAAATTATTCTAAACTGTTTTTGTCTTAAATAGACTCCCCTGACTGAAAAGACAGAAGTATGAGGGGGAGGAAAGCTGAATGGGATCTTTACAAAGACAGAGGCAGAAACAATAATAGCAAGGTTAGGAAACACTGTGCTTTATTTTTCCCTGCGAGTCTGCACTTTAGAACTGCACAGGCTCCTAGGCTCAAAAGCACATTTGCTCGCTGTTCCTTATTCCCAGAAAGCCAGGAAAGTTGAGTAGTTCTGGAACATTAAAGAAACTTGTGTGGTTAACACAGCATTCCTAGACCTTGACCAAAGACCTTCTTTGTTTAAGAAAACCATTCTTTTTCACAAAGCTGCATAGTTTCAAGGGTTGCGAGGACAGACATGTTGTGGGAAATCCCTCCCAGCCGGCTAGAGGACCAAACTACGCCAGCCACTGATGGGGTAATGCTACAGCTCTAAACATCATGGCCTTGGCATGAAATTCACCTCTAATGCCTGTGAAATTCCCAGGGGAAGTGTGGCATTTATGCTTAAGCAATTCCATCCCGGTCCCCAAGCCAACAAATGCTCACTTTTGAGAGCATTTAGCTACTTCCATACAAATGATATGTATGTTTTTCTCATTGGGGTGCAATGAGGAGTTGACAATTTTCAAATGGCCAGCAGATGGTGCCAAAAGGCAGGAGCAGTGGGAGGCGGGGCTTAACCTCCGGGAGTCCCAGCTAAGAAGGAACATGGGAGCCACAGGCCCCGTTTGAACTGCAATTGTGTCCTTTGGCCTGGACTGTACTCAGTAATTGTTTTTTAATAACTTTCCAACATTTTAAAATAGCAGCAATTCATATAAAACCTGTATCTGCAAATTCACTTGAAATATTGGCACTTCTAGAAACAATGGAGACTAATTCTATCAGGTTAAGAGCCAGTTGGAACTGAGTGACAACTATCCTTTAAAGGGACCAATTTACTATGGTCTCTTCTCTGCTTCGCTTGCTGTTACTGCCTGGACACTGAAGACATGTGACTTTGTCACCCCCTGACACAACCCAGCCCAACCTGTACACTTCACTTCATTGCACTGTGTCTTTAAAATTGCAAAGCGAGGAAAAGTGAATGCAAAGGACGGGTCCATTACAGATGATGCAATTCGACAGGAGACTCAAATGAATTTGCATTGGATGTCCAAGGTATCTGGGATGTTGCCTAAGAGACAGAGTAGCCCTTGGAGATCTGAGCACTCGCTATTCTAACAATACTCATAATCCATGCTGGGGCCTCGGGTCTCTCAAACCAGCTGCCTTTCTGTGTGTTCTGTGTGTTCTCTGGTAGGCAGAGGGCAAGGAGAAATTGTTTTCTTAGCCTTCATTAGGTGGTTAAACAACAGGGGGCTTGTGTTATCACTGTGCTGAAGAAGAACTTTGACTGGAAGCCTTTTTCCTATTAGAGGAAAAGTCTCAGGAGGTTGCATCCCGTGGCTGCTCCAAGATCCTGGATATATTTTTCTTCCTCTTCTCTCTTCTCTCTGCTACTCCTCCTTTTTTTCTTCTTCTTCTTCTTCTTTTTTTGACATAGTCTCAGTCTATTTCCCAGGCTGGAGTGCAGCAGTGCTATCTCGGCTCACTGCGACCTCCGCCTCCCATGTTCAAGTGATTCTGGTGTCTCAGCCTTCTCAGTAGCTGGGACTACAGGTGCACACTACCATGCCTGGCTAATTTTTGTATTTTTAGTATAAATGGGGTTTCATCATGTTGACCAGGCTGGTCTTGAAGTCCTGACCTCAAATGATCCACCTGCCTCGGCCTCCCGATGTGCTGAGATTACAGGCGTGAGTCACAGCACCTGGCCCCATCTTCTAGCAATATTTGGATTATGAGCTTCTGGAAGTCAGGGAAGATGCCTGCATAGAGCCCAGGCCAGTGCCATATTCTCCATGCCCAACCTACCATCCAGGGCAGGGAGGTGGGAGGAGGCGCACAAAGCAAATGAGTGGTCCCACACAGGGATGCCCACCTCTACCTCCTTATTATCCAGGACCAGGAGACAGCTTATTCTGCTTTGGCAGATTGATGGGATTTATTGACCAAGATTCGTGACCTGAAGGGTCATTTACACTGATTCCCATAGAGTTCATATATTCCTTAACAATGGAACAGAGCAAGGGAAGGATGGCCACAGTATCCGAATGAAATGCAGATGTTTTTCTTAACAAATCACCATGGTAGCTTTTTTATTCCTTATGAATTCATCTTCTATTCTAAACTCATAGTTCTAAATACATCACAGATCCTTGCAAAAAAAAAAGAAAAGAAAAGGCTTGGCTGACTATCCACCTTTGTGGCTGTACGGTGTGGGGGAGGATGGAGCCCACAAGCTGTCAGGAGGCAGCCTTCGCTGGCTGTCGGCGCGCTCCCCGGGGCCCCTCTCCTTTCGGCTCTTCTCCAAAAGGAGATGCCCAAGAGTCTCTTCCTGCGTAAAAGCACGCCCAGCTTAAAAAAGTGGTTACGGATTGACTGTAGTTGCAGCGAAGGCTCTAGACCTGGACTGTGTGTGTGAGAGGAAGCTATGCTCTTACGGTTCTACATTTTCTAGGTCTTCGTGGAGCCCCTAGGAAAAGGAAGGTAGGAAGAGCCCAGGGCAACCGAGACAGAGGCCGCCATGCATGAGGAATACCTGGAGCTGCCGCATCTGCTGGAGCTGGAGCCTGAGTTCCGCCACGCTCCGCCTCATCTCAAGCAGGCTCATGTGGATGGCCGAGGTGCCCGCAGGTGGAGGCTGGCTGGGAGGCACCGTGGACTCCAGAGCACTGAGCGTCTTCCCACCAGACACATGGGGCGTTCCTATGAGAAGAGTGCAGCACAGAACTCAGAAGCCACCAAGGAAAGTCTAAGCTATACGCCCCATCCCAATACAGATAGCTGGTAACTCTAAAAAGGCCCATTTCCATCATTACAAAAAGTATGCATATATATATCATGTAGTGTTATAGTATGCAGTGTGCAAAAATCACATTCCAGAAATTTACTGAGAAAGTGCCATAGGAAGGCAGGCTGCAGAGCTGTCTGTGCCCCCATCTATCTACCGATGGATTGATCTATCAATTGATCAATCTCATTTATGTTTTTTTAAATTTTTTTTATTTTCTTAACCTCTGGAGGAAGAGCTTGTTTTTAACACACAGGTGTGCACAGAGAAAAGCTTAGAAGTGTATAAAACGAAAGTGTTAAAGGTATCTCCTCCTGTGGTATCCGAATATAAGGGTTTATTTTAAACTAATTTTTATTTATTTACTTATTTATGTTTTTTGAGAACAAGGTTTCACTGTATTACCCAGGCAGGTCTTGAACTCCTGGGCTCAAGCTATCCTCCTGCCTCTGCCTCTCTAAGAGCTAGGATTACAGGCGTGAGCCACTGCACTCGGCCATTTTTTTGTATTTTTAAAATCTGCATACTGAATATCTGCAATATTATAATAGAAGAAAATAATTTTAAAATTCTAAGACCTAATATAGAGTGCTTATGTGACTATTTTCTGCGTGGCAAATGTAACCTAAGGACATGCAACTTATTTCTGGGTAGAGATTCGGCCAATCACAAAGGGGAAACTAGTAAGAACTGGGTACGGTCCCAAGTTCCTTCAGATTTCCAAAATCAAAAGAAGGAGGGCATCTGCACACAACTCCTTTGGTAAGAAAAAAAAGGCTAGATTCTAGAAAGGACAAGGTGATTCTATGGAACAGGTGCCCAGAGTAAAGCCTGGATGTATGTTACTAATAAACTCTCCCACCCCAGTTCCCTTTCCTGTAAATAGTCAAGTGGAAGCTTTGTCACAGGCCAAGCTGGCCTTGCAGGACAGAGCACTGCTGGCCACTTGCAGACCCTGGAGTGGTTATAGCGTGGCGGTAGCCTGTTTTTCTATCCTGCCTCAGCCATTTCAGGAACTTTTCCCTCCCCAGCACACACAACTCAGCCAGGCCTCAGTGGAGCTCAAAGTGGTATGCTCATGAGCCAGGGAGTTCCCTGCAACTGTCCTCTTTCTTGCTTGGCCTCGGCCACACTGATGCTGCTGGTGCCCATGCTCTTCAATTCTTGAGTGACCATCCGGATAGGGCCAGTCTCCAGCCCCTCTAATGGTCCCGTTGGGGAGGAAGCAGAGCAGCAGGCCAGAAGGCATTTTAAAGGGCTGACAATGGAGCTGGAGGAGACTGATGGCAAGCTTTTTGTTTTCTTTCTTTCCTTCCTTCCTTTCCTTCCTCCCCCTTCCTTCTTCCCTTCCCTCCCCTCCCCTCCCTTCCTTTCGATGGAGTCTCATTCTTTCTCTCCTAGGCTGGAGCGCAGTGGCACCATCTCGGCCACAGATTCTCCTGTCTCAGCCTCCCTAGTAGCCGGGACTACAGGTGTGCACCACCACACCCAGATAATTTTGTGTTTTTAGTAGAGACGGGGTTTCACCATGTTGGCCAGGCTAGTCTCGAACTCCTGAACTCAGGTGATCCTTCCGCCTTGGCCTCCCAAAGTGCTGGGATTACAGGCGTGAGCCACAGTGCCTGGCCATGTTATGTTTCTAAGCATAAATGGTCACTGATATCATCACCAGTCATGGCTCTGACCAACTTTTGGCAGTTCCTCCACCCTTCAAATCAAAATCACACTCAAAAGAGCAACGTTTGCCATCTCTGCCATTGTTCAAAAGGATTTTCTCCAACTGTGAAAGTACCAAGCAAAACATGCAAAACAAGTCTGGTAACATTTCCAATGACAGCTGCATGTTAGAATTAACAGTGCCTTCCAAAGTCAGTGATTCTCACCACACTCCATTGGAAGTTTCCTTATAGAATCAGTCAAATTACTTTTATCATCACTCCCTATACAGAGAGACATAGGCACATGTGGGTGTGTGTGCAAACACATGTGCGTGCACACACACAACACACCACATCATTTCTGATAAGGTATTTCTCCAACAAAGATGACACTGTGCTACCTTCTGTTTGCTACTAAGAACTGTTCTGCTAATTCCTCAGCCAAAGGAAGTCACACATTTTTACTTTACCTCTTTCTCCTGAGAGCACCAATGTCCCTCCTTCCCCTCAATCTTTTATTCCACGGATGTAAGGCTGAAGACTGGGTACCAGTTGTTTTTGAATTCTGATAACTGGTTTGAGAAAATATCTTTCACAACCCAATTTTTTTTTTTTTGAGACACAGTTTCACTCTATCATCCAGGCTTGAGTGCAGTGGTTCAATCCTCTGAACCTCAATCTCTCTGGGTTCTGGTGATCCTCCTACCTCAGCCTCCCAAAGTGCGACTATGGGCACATGCCACCACACCTGGCTAATTTTTTTTGTATTTTTTGTAGAGACAGGGTTTTGCCATGTTTCCCAGGCTAGTCTTGAACTCCTGGCCTCAAGCCATCCTCCTGCCTCAGCCTCCCAAAGTTCTGGGATTACAGGCATGGGCCACCATGTCCAACCAACAACCAAATTTCCTTATAGACTCTACACTCATTTTAAAAATATCTTCACATGCACATCCTCTTAATCCACTACATTTAGTTCAGGTAATAGCTCCATCATTCCCTGAAATGATTCTTTATGTTCATTTCAGCGATCTTTTAGTTGTCAACCGTGTGGACTCTCTCCTGGGCTGACATGACTTTGCTTCCATGTGAAACTGAGCTTTGTCAGCCACTTCTTTTCTTTTCGGTCACTTTGAAAGCTTCCGTCATCTTCTTCCCTCTCTGCTGCTCCGTCTTGGTCACTCTCTTCTAACTCCTTCCTCTGCTAATCTTTTAAGTCCTGCTGTGTTGTGTCCCTGGGTCTGCTTCTCTTCTTGGTGGACATGGGGAGGTCACTTCTGCTACCACCACCTGCCAAAGTCTCCCTCATCCTCGTCTGCAGCACACAATTATCTTCAGATCCACATGCCAATGCCTTCACCTTACTACTGAACTTCTCCGTTAGCAAGTCAAATTCATTATTTCTGCTTGTCTTCCCAAAAAAAAACCTTTCTGTCTCTATGGGCCTAATTTTATCTCTCTCTCTCTATATATAAATATATATAAATATATATATATAAATATATAATATATATATTTATATATATAATATATATATTTATATATATAATATATATATTTATATATATTATATATATTTTATATATACATATATAAAATTCACCACTACACAATTACAATTTATATATATAAATATATATATTTATATAAATATATATATATATATATTATTTCAACAGCTTTTGAGGTACAAGTAGTTTTTGGTTACACGGATGAATTGTATAGTGGTGAAGTCTGAGATTTCACAGCACCCATCACCCGAATAGTGTACCTTCTACCCCATTTGTAGTTTTCTATCCCTCGCCCCCTCTTGCCCTGCCTGCTTCTGAGTCTTCAATGTGCATTATGATATGGGCCTAATTTTAGCCAATGACATCAGCATCTACTCAATTATCGGCCAGTCAGGCTGTCTTTTTTTTTTTTTTTTTTGAGACGAAGTCTTGCTCTGTCACTCAGGCTGGAGTGCAGTAATCTCGGCTCACTGCAGCCTTGACTTCTCAGGCTCAGGCTCAGGCTCAGGCAATCCTCCCACCTCAGCCTCCCAAGTATGTGGAACTACAAACATGTACCACCACGCCCATTTTTTGTAGAGACAGGGTCTTGCAGTGTTGTCAGGGTGGGTCTCAAACTCCTGGCCTCAAGCAACCCTCCCACCTCAGCCTTCCAAGGTCCTGGAATTACAAGCATGAGCCACCATGCCTGGGCTGGCTGTCATTCTTACTAGCTGTGTAGCTTTGGATAACTAATCTAACCTCCCTGAGCTTCTGTTTCCTTTCAAGTAAAATATAGGTAAAATATGGGTAATGACCTCTTCCTTACAGGGTTTTTGTGTTAAATGATCTAATGCACAGTATAAACCCCATGGCATGCCTTTGAGATGGGAAGTTTCTTCTGTTCTCTTTCCACAGTAAACTATACATTCCTAAAGTAACCAGAAAGTCTGGGCTTTCCTTTACCCTCAGCCAAATGAGTTCCTTGACTTCTTTATAATTCCGTTTACTTGTCACAGAACAGGGATAATACTTGTCTTGTAGCTTACTTCCTAGGATTCTGGAAGAATTATTATATTTTGTGTGCTATACAGGGCTGCTACAGCAATGAAGCCCCTGTGGACAGCATCTCGCCCTGATACGTTAGCGTAAGAAAGTCCAAACCTAGAGAGACGTGGGGAGTGAGTCCACGGGCGTGTTGCCAGCAGCGCTGCAAATCAGCCCAGCCATTCAGAAGAGGAAACCAGCAGCATGTCACCGGTGCCACTGAACTGTCCCTTTGAACTCACTGATTCCACTTTGGGAAATGTCTCTGAGGAAATGACACTGGCTCCTTTCTCCACATTTCAAAAGAAATTGACAAGATTTTTTAGAACAAAGAAATGAAACAACCTATATATCTTTAAAGGGACTGGGGCATCTTAACCTAAAAGAAGGAGTTAAAATGACGGGACTGTGCATTATGATGGTGTGTGTCACGTGTATTGGCCTGTGTTCCATTTACTCCTCTGGAACGTGAGGATAAAAATTGTACCTTTCCCTGGATGCTGGCGGTAAGGGGTTCATGAGTGAATGCATGAGTGCACAGGAAGCGCTCACTACATATTTATTATTATTCTCTAAAAAGCAAGAAGAAAAAAAAGGAAAAAATAGCACATACATATAGATTAGAGCAGTGTGCTCCCATATGAATCATTTCTAGAAGGGATTAGTTTCCTTTTTTTCCCCTAAGTTTACAATAAATTTAAAAAAATGAATGAATGAAGTATCTCCAAAACAAACTGGCAATTGCTCTGAAGACAAGTTTAGCAATTTCCGTGAAATAATTCTCTGGCTTCGGCCAAGGTCACTGATTGATTTCTAAGCAAAACAACAAATCCTGTCAGGATCAGGAATGCTGGCAGAGCGGCCCTGTTGGCCTTGTAGCTAAACTGTGCTCAGCCAGAGGAGAACCACGACCAACAGTGCCCTAAACTTAAGTCCCAAATTCTGTCTACTGTACCATGCTGCACAAAACCAGTACACGTGGCTTCCCTAAATTTGGGGTTTCACCCAACTTGCCATATGCTTTCTGTGTAATTTAGTATCTGAATGTGTTCCTGCTAAGGATTTCTATTTCTAACCCGATGGGAGGGAAGACCTCATCTTCTTGCAGAGGCCTGGCTCGAGACTGCAGGATCAAACATTCATTGCAAAGCCCTGGATGCTAGTGAACGCCGCTACTAATGGAACTGAGTTCTCTTTTTGGGGAATGCAGGCATTTAAAAAGCAGGACTGATCATCCGTCACGAGGTTAAAAAGATAAAATAAAAAGCAGGCCCTAGACCAAGTAGTTCTTCTCCTACCTGAACACTGGTCATTCCTTATTGCTACTGTCCCTTCTCATCCAACCCCACGTTGCAGCTGGGCTGACGTCCTTCCCCAGTGTACAACCTTCCAAGGGCTGCACTTTGCACTTAGAACAATTTTAAATTCCCTTGACTGGCCACCCATTCTTTCCCCTAAGCCCTCTTCACCCTTCCGGGCTTAGTTTGTGTCACTTCCTCCAGGGAATGTCCTCAGTATACACTAGTCCTATTGGTGAAATATTTATCCTGCAATTTTAAACACTCAAAACACATAAAACAACTTGTCCCATTTCCCTCTTCCCCATTGAATTCCAAGTTCTAGGTAGGCCACTCTGTGTCTGCAAGATGCCCATTGTATGGTCATGTCAATGAACAAATAAGTAAGTGAGTGAATGAATGAAAACTGAAGGGAGAGACAGTGCTTTGCCCCCTGAAGTAATGAATAAATCTGAAATTTCGGCATTAGCAGGAAAGGTGTGGGCATGCAAGGAGTTATCCAGGAATCCTCTGACATCATACCAAATAAGTGACTTCGGAAAATGTTAAACATTTCTGAGACCAGCTAGGGCTCATCCCAGGCAGGCCACAGGCCTCCTGCAGCTCCAAAAACACTTACCTGCACTATCAGTGTGGTTCCTGTTGGCTGTGGTTTTCATCATTTTCTCGCTGAATAAAAGAAAAAGAGAGTCAGCTATGCAGTTTCCAAAATGCCTTTTTTTTTTTTTTTTTAAAAAAAAGCCCATTCCGTTCACTATTTGAAGCAATTGGCAGTGATGGGATTAAGCAATGAAGGTCTTTTAGCATCAGCATCACAATTGGCCAGGATGGAAAAGGCTTCCCAGGTGTGCACCTGACACTGAGGGTGGAATGCAGCCAGGCTCACTCGTGACTTTCAGATGATGGCGACGTGGACACGCAAGGCTGGTGGTTGCAGGCACTGCACGGTGAGTGGTCCATGAAGCCACATGCACTGGGAAGCCCCTTTGCCTTCTTGGGCGAAAGTATTAACTTCGACCAAGAATTACCAGAAGGAGGAAAAAAAAAACAACCCAAAAAAATAATAATAATAATGCCCATGATTCATAGAGATGTGAATATTTTCAGCCTTGAAATGATTACAAGGAAACAGATTTGAATGAATGAATTATCTTAATGATTAAAAGAGAAACAGATTGAATTATTTTTATCATTGGCTTTCTTCTTTTTTACCTAGACGCATCTTTGCTATAACTTGTAATGGGCCCTTTAAAAAGCGCAGACTGAACAAGGCCAGTTAAACTGGCAATCTGTTTCTCCATGGCTTGCATCCTCTCTCTGTAAAACAAGAGAATTGTTTGTTAAAGCCCTATTGACTTTCAGACCGGTTTGTCCAGGTGAATGAACCACCTGAGGGTTATAAAAGGTACCATCTAGAAGGCCATGGAAGTTCACCCAACCTGGCTCAGGAACATGAAGAACCTTCACATCCCCAGCTGAGGTCAAGATTCATGATCACTGTTCTGTATCAAGCCAGTGGCATGAACCAACAGGAGCCTCTGGGAAAAGTGCAAACCCCATCTCCTTCGGAAGCACTCCTGTTTGCGCACCCTGTGTTTGAGTCTTTCTGCCCTGCTTTCTTTATTTCACCTTGCACAACAGGGCTGTTCCCTAGCACTGGTGGTGTCTCAGGCCAGGTCTTGCCTAGCTGCACACATTTCTATGCCATATACCGCAGCTGGAAGGCTGCTGAGTGGTTTTGGTGTAAATGGTGGAGATGTTTGCTGTGTGGATAGTAACACTTGTGTCACAGCTGAAGGGCAACACAAACATATCTCTTCTTTAGGCCATGGAGAAATATGACTGAAACCTGGCTGGGTGTGGTGGTTCACCCTGTGATCTCAGCACTTTGGGAAGCCGTGGTGGGTGGATCACCTGAAGTCAGGAGTTTGAGAGCAGCGTAGCCAACATGGTAAAACTCTCTCTCTACTACCAAGATCACGCCACTGAACGATAGATAGACTGGGTAACAGAGTGAGACGCTGTCTCAAAAATAAAAAACGAAAAAAAAAACTAACCAACAAACAAAAATCACACAAAAAAAGAAACGCATGTATTTGAAAGTAGATGATGTTGGATCTAATGTCATAGGAACTTTGGCCTGAAGCCTTTCACAGAATCACACAGGAAAACGAATATCCCTAACAGCTTGGTCGTTTGAATATGTGAATGGAAGACTCCCCAGTGATTTCCTATATACAGATACCGTTCCTCTCTCTTCAGGGTTCTCTGATGCGTCTTTATGGTGTGACTGGCATTCAAAACAGGTTCACATTTCTAGACCTCAGACAATGGACGTTTCACTGAACTGTTGCCATTGTTTTCAACACATTGTTAAAAACAACAATACAACTAAGTGAAGAGAAGAGTCCTATGTCACCTGAGTGAATTCAGTCATGCGTAGTTTAAAGCAGGAAAAGGAGAGAGGGAAGAATTTAAATGGCATCAGCACCACCTGTGCTGATATTCCTCATGAGTGAGCGTCCTCGAAGAAGCCTGAGATAAGAGAGGGGTCCTCATTCCTCACTGTGGGTCTTAGTCACACAGGCCTCTGTGTATGTCAGTGATGGGGATTCCTGTGCTGCAAACAGTATATTCTTACACTATTAAATACAAGCTGGCAAATTTATCGGATACTTAGTAAAAAAAAGTAATGATGATCTGTCTGGCTGGGCATGGTGGCTCATGTCTGTAATCTTAGCACTTTGGGAGGCCGAGGTGGGTGGATTACCTGAGGTCAGGAATTCAAGACCAGCCTGGCCATCATGGTGAAACCCCGTCTCTACTACAAATACAAAAATTAGCTGGGCATGGTGGTGCATGCCTGTAATCCCAGCTACTTGGAAGGCTGAAGGAGGAGAATCGCCAGAACCTAGGAGGCGGAGGCTGCAGTGAGCCAAGATTGTGCCACCACACTCTAGCCTGGGTGACAATATGAGACTTGGTCTTAAAAAAAAAAGAAAAAAAGTAATGACGGTCTGTTCTTTCACTACAAAAAGCCAAGTGATTTAGTTGGGCTCTTTTCGAGAGATGGTGCATCTGTATCCTGAACTTTATGACAATCAAGATGATATTCAAGGGTAATTTTGTCCAACTCAAGCATTGCGGCCTTGAGTTTTACCTTTGGAATGTAACTCTCAGTGCTGTATGTAACACTGATCTTAATTTTGTAATTGCAAGCTTCTGATGTCAGGACTCCATGCATTTTCTTTAGTTTAAAACTGATGGTCTGTCACAATACCGAGTTTCTTGTATGTAAGTCATGCAGTCTGGATAGTTAAAGGTTGCAAATCCACCAAAGAGGAAAAAAAACCAAACAATTTAAGTATTTATAGTATGATCTCTCTGCTCTAATAGAGTGGAAAGAAGAGATCTCAAATTGTGAGAAAGAAATGGAAGAAATCTCAAATCTCGAATGGAAACGTATCTCCACGGAGTGATTTGCAAATGTTTCCAGGTACACCAGTTGGTGCTAAACCTCTCAGCCATACAGCATTTCAGTCATACCTTGGTGTCCTTTTGCCATAAAACAGTCCACATATCAAAGAAAAAAACTGTAAGAAATTCAAATAAGGAAAGCAGGTTAGTAAATATCCATTGGAAATCTCAACCTGATTGGCCCAAGTCACAATGGTATGGCAGAAAAAATGGGGGTGGTGGTTGCTCACTCTTCCTGCCACATGGGAGACACAGACTTGCACATTCATATCTTGAGATATGAATGATTTCCTCAGGAGAATTCAGTCCCAGGTGAAAGTTGCCCAGTGTCCTCATCCATCCCACAGGGACCCTATCCACAGTGGTGCTGGAATAAAATGAATGACCCTAAGAACAGAGTTGCATTCAGAGCTACCTTGAGATGCACTAGTTTACCACTCTTCTTCAATCCCAGGCAAATGCAAAGGATATTTCTTTAAGAATAAAAAAGGTAACATGGCATTTTTAGAGTCTAGACCGCTTTGGTAAGGAAGTGGCTTAAAGGGTTCTGTCCAGCTGGAGTGTGGGATAGGAAGGCATGATGACAACCTTAGTACATGCAGAAGACAGTAATATTAAGAGATGGAAGAAATAGGTAGGCCTCTTTTTTTTTGGAGTCTCACTCTGTTGCCCAAGCTGGAGTGCAGTGGCATAATCTCAGCTCACTGCAACCTCCACCTCCTGGGCTCAGGCTATTCTGTCTCAGCCTCCTAAGTGGCTGGGACTACAGGCATGCACCACCATGCCCAGCTAATTTTTGTATTGTTAGTAGAGATGGGGTTTCACCATGTTGTCCAGGATGGTCTTGATCTCTTGACCTCGTGATCCACCTGCCTCAGCCTCCCAAAGAAGTGCTGGGATTACAGGCATGAGCCACCGCGCCCCACTGTTAGGTCTCGTTTATGTAGAGACTAAATGAGACTCTGCTAAGAGAGAAATGGCAGCGGGGAGTCCTGGGCTTCCATTGCTGGCCACAAGAACAATGCTGGTTAGAGCTAGGTCAGGCTTCTTTCTCCTCCCAGGCTGGTCCACAGATTTCATTATGTTGTCCAACAAAGGAGAGTAACAGCATTAAAAATCAAAACAGCCTGGGTGCGGTGACTCACATTCATAATTGGAGCAATTTGGGAGGCCAAGGTGGTAGATCACTTAAGGTCAGGAGTTCAAGAGCAGCCTGGCCAACATGGTGAAACCCCATCACTGCTAAAAATACAAAATAAACTGGGTGTGGTGGCGCATGCCTGTAATCCCAGCTACTCAGGAGGCTGAGGCAGGAGAATTACTTGAACTGGGGAGGCAGAAGTTGCGGTGGGCGGAGGTTGCCCCACTGCACTCCAGCCTGGGCAACAGTAAAACTTTGTCTAAAAAAAAAAAAAAAACAAAAACAAAAAAAGGAAACAAAGCACCTGAATCATTCTGGATAAAGAAAAGAACATTGGTCCTCCACTGATTCATCCTCAAGGTTAGAACTGTAGAATGTTAAACACAGACCACGTCATCTGCACATGGGAGTCCATGGGGCTGCAGACAGGCCTTTGGCATATTCCTTGGCTCAGTGAGTATTCAGCTTCTACACTGGGTTCCCACCAGATAACAGTTTTAGGATGTAGAGAGAGACAATCCCCAAACAACATCCTATTCTTCTTTAGGGCTGATATTGACAGAGTTGCAGAACTGCCTGGGATAAGAGTTTGGATGCTTTTAGAACAAAAGGGCTCTATCCACTCCAGCTATCCACATGCTTGGTTCTCCAGTTTTTATCTGTGAGGAAGGGAGCAAAATCTCCCTTAGTGGCCTCTTTCAGGGGATGTCACCTGCAAGGCCACCTGGAAAAAGACAATGCATCAGAGATACTGAGTCAGGTGGCTTCTCATCTGACATCCCCCCTGGAAAGTTCAGATGCTTGACAGTAGAGAAGGGCAGTTCTCTCCACGGTGGGAGCAGGCAGTACACCGAGCACTGAATACATGTATATGCTCTAGTGTCTTGGCCAAAGCCACTTTACAAAAATGCAATTCTTTTGACACATGGTAATGAGAAAACATTTCCCCTCCTATTTAATCGTCAAAGTGTGTCTGGTTTCAGGATTCATTTTTGGGACATTTTCTGATTTATAAATTCATAAATAAGATTGTCTTTCCATTTTATGGTTGGTAATCTGGAAACAATTTTATGGTTTAACTAAATTACAGCAACTGGAAACTTATGCAGCCTTCTCCCATGATGAAATGTTAGGAAGTGTGTTTTAATGTTGAAAGGGAGGAATGCAAAGTGCAATGGAAGAAGGGAAATGAACACAACCCTGTCATTTCATTTCAGTGGCAATTTTGCATGATGATCATCAGAATATTAAAGACCCTCAGGCTCATTCTTGCCAATATCGCTTGGTTTAAAGTATGACAGGACTGATACAATTACTATTGAAAAGATGGCTTAAAAATGATTTCATAAACCATTTTATATCATTCCACAAACCATGCTTATGTGATTAGTGTATATGGTTAACTAGTCATTTAATGTCTTAAGTCAGCCTGGCTGAATGAGTCTTCTTATGATCCAAACATAACATTAATAAAAAAACGCAAGTCAAATTCAGGGAAATGCTGTTTCCAGTGTTAAAAGTGCAGCTACTCTAAACAACTTTACTGCAAGCTCCATGTCTGTCTGTGAAGCTGAAGCAAAATTCATATTGTGTTGGTCTGTTCTCTATGTCTTTGGAACACAGGGAGGGCAATAAAATTCTGTGTGTAGGGGATGATTTTTAGCCAATGACTCCATTTATAGAACTTTTTTTTTTAGAC